GCAGGAGCGGACAGCACGACACCTGTGGTCACGGATGAACCCACGTAAGGGCCCCGCCTCAGCCCCAGACACTGAATGAGTAGAGCCTACAGGTCGCCTGGATTCCTGAGGCCGGTGATGGGCCGTCGAAGCAGAACACGGGATGGGTCTTACGAAGGGACCTCAAAAGGCGGGAGGAGTCACGTGACCCCTAACGGTTGGCACTCTGGTTGCATCCTGTGGTTAATGCTCAGGTTCGGATATCGCCCACCATCTTTTAATTATTCACTTTAATTCGTCCTCTTCTCAGCTATTACATGTGGAGCACGTCTCCACCTGAATCACTCTCCACATATATATTTGGATACAGGAAGGAGAGAGGAAAATAATAATGTTTTTGGAAAGTGCCAAGTGGATTTTGAAGATAATCTTATTTCAGAGAAAATAATTAAATGAATGCTGCTTTCTCTCTAATTGCCTCACACTTAAAATCAAATGCGCTCCGGTTAATACTTTTCAGCATCTAATTGAATTTTCACCGTTCCTTTTATTACAAGACTAGGTTATACGGGAAGGTGATGATTTTAATGTGATTATTATGTTGTTATACAAAGTTATAGCATCAAAGAATATGCAGCAACAGTATTTTTTTTCTTTCTTTCTTTTTTTGTCTTTCTCCTGATGTGGGATTTCAGTCAGAATTGCAAGGACCTCTGATGTGATCCAGGGTGCCCAGGAACGGTGGTCCTCAATTTATATTTTGAAGTTATAGAGAGCTCTTCCAAGAGTTAAACTGGAGCTCCCATGTTAAGAACAGTCAAGGCAGAAATTTACATGTTTACTGATGACATTATTCACGCTGTGCTTTTAAAAAAGGACATTTGCAACATATCTCTGTGTAATGTTTTATCTTTTTACGGACTTCAATAACCATAGTTTGTTTTTTTTGTTTTTTTTTTTTTGATGAACGTCATTTTTTTCCTGCTCGACATTTAATGAGATCCGCTCTGCTGATTAAGTCACTCGAAACCCATTGTCACGTCGGAATCGTTTTTAAAAACCTGCCCCCCGAAATTGCAACATCAACGGAAAAGAATTGTAATTTGCGATCTCACCCTATTTTTACCTTTTCTCAGTGATTTTTTTTTTTTTTATCCTCATCTTCTGTTTGGATGCTTTAGAGAAATTGTAAATCAACATATCTGCAGGTGCCATATGGTTTCTGCCTACTGCGAGGCAATGTTTGAGCGGCACACGAGATGTTCCTAAGACTCGGGCTCGTTTTGAAATGGAAGGTTGTCAACGTGAGCGTGCTACCAACACCGCGTGAAGACGAAGCTCCGTGTTGCCGTGGAAGAAAACGCATTAAGAACTCAAGTAGGAGCAGGTCTGCAGCCTCGTTCCCGTGGGACTTCAGGGTTCAGGGCCCACGGAACCAGGAAAGAGGCTGACCATGCCTCGCTGCCCTCAGAGAGAGAGTCATGTTCCTTACACTCTGGTCTCCCCTGGGGCAAAGCAGAATTTACGAAACACTTTGAATAATTTGAGGGCCTGTATCAACAGTCATAGTAGGAATGAGCTTATAATTAGTCAGAGAAATGAGTGGATGTAAGCATTCCAGAAGGTTTGCCCCGTGGGAGGAGGTGGGGAGGAAACTTGCCTCGACCCTCTCAAAATTCGTTCGGCTGGTCCAATCATCAAATAGACGTGAGACAGATTAGGAAGGAAAAGTAACCACATTGAAAACATACATACATATGGGAACTTTGCCTACGTGACACAGAGACCCCGCACGCAGGAGATATTCGGACATAGACAGGGGACACGGGCGTATGAGACGACCTGAGCTGGGGATGAGACAGGTGCCCTGGGGGCTTCAAAGGGTGACTGCAGGATGATGAGAAGAACAGGTGTTTCGTCAATAGAAGTTTGTCCTGACCTACAGATGGGTCAGAACAGGTGATCTCCGACCGTCTCCTACTGTGATTACCGCAGGGCCCCTAATTCAAGGTATTCTGGGTACTTCCGGGAGGGGCAGACGTTTCTCCTGAGGCTGCAGCTAAAGTTGCCTGTGGGTCAAAACAGTAAGCCCGTGACAGGAGCACATTTTCGGTGAGTAGCTCTGACCTGCAACAGTCCTTACCCCGAGGATGTGAAGAGATTCTCCAGTGCGTTCCAATAATAGTTCATCTTTTTCGCACTTCTGTCTTCCCTCTAATGCATACCGCGTGTTTTAATAGGTAGCAGTTGCGTGATCATGTATTGAGATTCCATATATATGTGTGTGTGTGTGTGTGTGTGTGTATATATATATATATATTTTTTTTTTTATACTTTCTCACTGCTGATAGCTAACATAATTGCACAATGGACAGTGTGGACAATATCTTGATGATTTGGATGCTTGGAAAAATGTTTTCCTTCTAAGCACGGGTAAAACCTTTCAGATGGTTCAGATCATCTAAATAACGCAGAGTGTCTTTTTTTGTTGTACGTATTTCATTATCTTTTTAGGATAAATCTATTAGATGAAGCCTGTTAATTACCACATTCCAGGCTTTACCCTTGTATTTTTATTTCTCTCTTTCCTTTTATAATACTTGACAGACGTTCACTGAAATCTCACAGCAGAGATGCGTTTTTACAATAGGTTTGAGTAATTCTGTCCTTTTAAGCTTTATATACGTCAAGGCTCTTGTCAACCAAAGGTCCTTGGCACCAATTCAACGCCAACAGGAATCCCCAAATAATTGGGGGTGTGGTAGAGAAGGAGACCATTTGGTGCAAACACCTTCACTGTGATTCAGCACAGCTGCATTGTGGCTTTGGTGTATGGCCCGTGTCCCCCTACACAGCTCTGCCCTGCCAAGACGTCTTAGGCATGTCAGCTTCAGCCGGAGAAACACAGTCTTTGGGCTTTGTGGGAGCTGACTTTTGTAGACAGAAGTCCCCGCCCCTGGTCCCTGATTACTTCATCCTCATCCTCCAGCAAAGGAGGACCCCAAATACTCGCGGTTCGATTGGTCCAAAGGGCACTGTCTTGATTAATCAGAACGGAGCCACTCTGCTCGGTCGGTGAAGATGCCAATGGGGACTTGGCTGCGTGGCTCTGACTGGGCAGGGCAAGTCTTAGTCCTGTTGTTGAAATAGGAGTGCAAGATCTCCTTTCGTAGGGTTGGCTCAGAGGGCGGGACCACGGGGCGGGCAGCCGGTTCACTGCAGGCTTGCATGAGAGGCCCCCATAGAGAAATGGCTTCTAGGCTCTGTTTTTCTTTAAATTTGAGCCCCGTTGGCCACCAGGAGTCCTTCTTGGCCGGAGTCTTCTTTCTTGGGTCAACAGCTGTTAACCCTGAAATGCCAGTTTGAGATGACCGTGGATTTTTCGTTGGCTCTTTTTCCAATTGATGACGTAATGCCCCAAACCTACCTTCCCCGCTTTGGTGTTTAGTTCAATTGTATGTCAGCTTCATTTTGGTCATCATTCTCTTGTGCAGTTTTCAAACTCTTTTCATCGTTTTCTTGCAGATGGGTCGTCAGTAAATATTTTAGGGCTGTGCCATGACATTTACGGAGTTTTAATGCGAACTGAGTGTCCGTGCCTTTTAATAGGGAAGTTGAGCCTTTTATGTCTGCTGTGATGACTGCTAATACTGGACATATTTCAAATATCGTAAAGTGTCTTTTCATTTCTCAATCTTTTTTTTTTTCAAATCAGGCTTCTTTTATTTTTCTCTCTTTGCTAATTTCTGACAATTTCATTCATAACTAGCTCAGTTTTCTTAGTTTTCCCCCACTCGCTGTTTTAAATATTTGCATATCCATTTTACTACGAATCTACTTTCTACACAAGACAATAGTGTCAACGCATTCAAACTGGTCAAATACCTTCCCTACCCATCATTCGTTATTCATCTACTTTAGCATTTCTCATCCAGCTTACTTTACTTTTCGGTCTAAAATGTTAATATTGCACTAAGTTTATTTTTGCGATCAGTACGTATTTCCAGATTTACCAAAATGGCTTAGAGAGGCCTTTACTCTCGTGCACACTAAATCCTAGCACATCTCGAGTTTATTACTCTTTGTGCCAAAGTCTGTCCTTTCATAGGGTCTTCATAAGGAGTTTCTGAGTAAAACGCCGTGGGAGTCATCTTGCCTGAGAAATTATTTATTTTATGAACTGTTGTATCATCGATGGCTGCGGTCGGAATTCGATAGTCTCGGATGTTGTACGCAAACGGTTCAATTATCCTGCGATGGACGAGATATTTCTGAGGTGACCTCGGCGGTCTCCCATTCCTTGGCATGAACATCGTTGTTTAATGCCCTCCCCTGGAGTGTCGGTGAGACCCGAGACTTGTGTCTAGACATCAACTATGGAAACATTTAAGGGAGAGAGCAGGTGTAATTACTGGTTCCGCATTAATTGATTTTGAGGTCATTTAAAGTAAGGTTACCTTGGGTGGGTAAGATGGACGGAGACCTTCCTGAGAGAAAGCTTCTGCCTTTGCCGTATTGGAGAAGTCCACTTGAGATCCACCTGTGTTGGACGAATTTTACGGTGGCTCCCCCATGACTCTGTCTGCTCATCTGCCATCTTGTTGGGTGTGTCCAGGATTGTAGGGTGTCACTTCGGTGTTTCTTTATCCGACCTACAATTCCATCTTGCTGGAAGACTCTCTTAGGGATGTTGTCTTGCTCGAGAGGCAGGTGGCCATGTTGGAAGGCAATGCCCACCTGGCGAGCGGCCGAGGGTGGCCTTGAGGATATGGGAGTGGCCCTTGCCTGACAGCCAGACATGGCTGGGCTTCTCAGTTCCACAGCCACGAGGAACGGAACTCTGCCAGCGGCCTGAATGCATTTGGGGGCCGATTCTTCTCCTTTCGAATATCCAGATGAGGTCACAGCTGGCCAGCGTCTTCAGGCTCTGTGTGCCCCACCCAGGTCCCTGAGCCACAGAAACTGTGAGACAAGGAACGATTTAATTGAATACATGCGTTCAGCCTCTGCGTTCGGGGATACTGTGGTACGTGGCAATAGTTAACGGATGCAGGTACGATTCCATCGTAATGTCCGTGAAACAGACAGATTGAGATATTGGCTCTGAATCCACCGCGGGCTTTGGTTCGCTCTGTTATTCTGCTCACCTGTGTGTTGGGGTAAATAGTAGCCCTTCCACCATTGAGACAAAGCGTCGATGTTTAGAACGCTTACAAAAGCGAGTGCCTTAGAGGATGTATTTAACAGATAGCGAGGACCTGCCTGCAGAAGCCAAGCTTTCAGAGCACCTGCCCCCGCCCCCCCCACCCCTTGCTTGTGTGACAGGTTTAAATATTAGGTCTGTCCCCTCCCAATATCTCTGTAATTATGTGCTTTCTACACTCACCCCCGTACCTCAGCAATCTATTGATTTTTGAAGTGAACACATTGATTTTTTTCTCTCTCCCTTATATTACAATGCCAAAGGCTTTTAATAAATGAGTGGCGGCCTTTGTGCAAACTCACAGATGTTCCCCTAACGGAGACGCTATTAAGATCTCATCCAGACACGTAAGCAGAATCATTAGGCCCTGGCATTGAAAGCCGTGGTCATCATAGGCTTGTAGGTGTTCGACCTACAGCCCCTGACCAAAGTCTAGAATATGTCTCCTCTAGTTATAGAAGTCTCAACACCATTTTTTAGAAAATCTTCTGATCTGCATTGGACAGGCATAGCTCGTTTTCCCAGGCTTTGCTTTTGTGTGTTTCACAGATGATGCGTTTTTTTTTTACAAATTAAAGAATCTCCACCCGCAAAAAGTTGATGGCATACTGAAATCTCAGGTGGTGGTTAGTATTTTTTAGCAATAAAGTATATTTTAATGAAGGTACATTTTATTTTTTAAGACATAATGCTATTGCACAGTTAACAGACTATACAGTATAGGGTAAATATAACTTTTACGTGCATTGGGAAACTAAAAGAAATCATGTTTTTCCCTTTATTGTGATATTCTTAATATCTTTATCGTGGTGGTCTGCAACTGAACCCACAGAATCTCCCAGGTAGGCATGTAGTTCTAATAAATATGATTAGGCTTTTTAAAATTTCTTGACAATTTCTTGTGGCCACCCAAGTTAGTTGATTTTGTAACAGGGAAGCTCGGCGTTCCCTAAGATTGCTTACCCGAATGGTTTAAACAAGACAAGTGACATATAAAAACCAACATACTATCGCATAAAAAGTAACCGCTCATTTTCACTCACTATCTCTGATTTATCCACTCTCTGCAAGCACTTGGCTTGAGAGAGAGTCCATGAAAAATTAATAACCGATGCCAGTCATAAAAAGGGATCCGCTATCTATAGGGTCCACTCGGTGAAAATTTGGGAACAGATATTGTATTCATTTTTCATTGTTTTTCAGAAAACCACCTCCATCGCAGACACTTAAACCGACGCACGCGAGGGTCTCGGAGGCGCTGTGCCGGAGGGGTCTAGGCGTGGCTGAGCCGGTCCTCGCGTGGGGTCTCAGAGGGCTGTGTTCTCTCACCTGAAGGTTCAAACGTGAAACACCCCACTTCCGAACTCGCTCGGGGCGTCGGCAGGTCTCACTGCCTTGCAGCTACGGGACTGGAGAGCCCACGATTTTGCTACCTGTCGTCTGGAGTCTCACCCCAGGTGCTACAGGCTGTCACAGTCCCTGGAGGCCACCCACAGCTCTACTCCTACATGGACACTTCAGTCATCAGACCCGTGTCAAGGCCCTTGGTTTGACTAGATCAGACTCACTCAGGATAATCTCCCTTTTAGCAAACTCAGAATCAACTAATTGGGGACATTATTGCAGCTGAGAAAGCGCTTCACCATGACCACGTTCGCCCCCGGCGGAAGTAAATCCCAGCCCTGCCCCTATGGAAAGGGCGTGGTTTTGATAGGGCGTGAATGCTCAGCGGACCACGGGATGACCGGCCACCACAGATGGTTTGAATGGTATTCCCAAAGGATGATGTCATCCGAGGGCACTAGAAGTAACGGAAAAACACATGGGTGTTAAATTAAAACGCACGCACACACACACACACACACACACAGCAAAGGATGATGTCATCCGAGGGCACTAGGAGTAACGGAAAAACGCATGGGTGTTAAATTAAAACGCGCACACACACACACACACACACACATGCACAAAAGTCCCAGCCTGCGCTGAGAACTGAATTCTAACCCTACTTTTCCCATCGACTTTGTGACCTAAGCAAACCAGGTAAACACACCGAGCCCTGGGAGCGTCAGAGGACACATAGCACCTTGAGACGAGAAACTGTTTATGGCCCCATCCATCTCTACCCTCCCACAGTATTAGAAGCTACGGTATATTTACAGGTTACTAGCTGGAGAGATAAAGAATAATGATTAAGACCTTTGCGATACCACGTGACAGTGTCTAGCCACACGTGGCCATGAGCACAGGAGGCGTGGCCAGTCCAACCTGGGGTGCACTCGAACTGTGAAATATACGTCAGATTCCAAGGATTCAGAGTAACCCCAAAATAATATGTAAGCTATGTTATTCATATTTTTATACTGATCACAATTGCTCACATTGGGATGACAATATTTAGATTGCATTCGAGCTATTACTAAAATGGATTTTGCCTGTAAGCTTTACTTATCATATAGAAATTTCCAGAAAAGTTGAAATTCCACAAATGGCTAGCCTTATATTCCTACTGCATGGCACTAATATAGAAGGGTTTTCTTTCTGCCTATTTGTATTCCCTTGTTGGATTTTTTGTGGGGGGAAGCAATGCTATTGAAGGAACCTAAAATAATATGTATTTTAGTCAAAAGTTCTTAAATATGTATTTTGTATTTCAAGTGATTTATTTTTCAGGTATATTGAAACTTCTCAACAGGTCAATGATAGCAGCTACTAATTTTAACGTAATAAATTGCACAAATTATCTCACTCACATACCATAGTATAACTAATCCTTACGTCACATAAAGGGAAAATCATGTTACCATGTGTCTGTTATAAAGATTTGTTACAAAGTTTGTTGTTATAGAGATTTAATGAAATACTAGACGTAAATCACTTAGCTCCTCTGACAGAGTAAGTTCTGCCAATTTGATTATTCTTTTAAAATTATTACTCAGTTGTTTGAAGGAGCAAATATCTTTGGAAATATTTTCCAGGACATTAATACATTCCCGTGGACAATTTCACATTACAGGTTTGGTGACTTACACGGCTAAAATGAACGAGTCAGTCGAACGCCAATTTTACAAAAATCTCCCATCACTCTCCTGATTATTACACCCAATGGCACCAGCCCTGCAGACAAGCCAAGCCACCTGTCTTTCCAAATGCATCAGCGGTGTGACCCAAAGTGTTTAGTGTCTCAGCCCAGACCGTCATCGTCATGGACACGGAGGTCACGGAACTGACCCACAAGGTCGGGTGAATGAGCTCCGAGCTCAGCTCCTGAGGTTCCGTTCCCCTCAGCTGTAATCAGAGTCGGGGGAGGGGGATTGTTTTAGACCCCACCTCTCGCCAGCTGAACTGCAGCTTCTAGAACTGGACCTGGGTATTGGTATTTAAAAAAAAAAAAAAATGTGTTATTCAGGTTAAGCCAGTGCCGGCATCACTGAGTAACAGATTTTCGTTTTTGACCTAGATAGATATATTTGGGACAGCTTAGGCGTGAACTTGAGAAAAAGAAAGAACAGAAAAAGACAAAAATTATATCGTCTGGGGCTTCCATTTTCTCTTTAGCTCTTAGTCACCCTAATCCTACAGCTCAGACTATTTTTTCCCTAAAATATTGATATTCATGGTATCTGATTGACCTCTTATTATTATTATTATTATTATTATTATTATTATTATTATTAGAGTCCCTCTAACATTTCTTGGAGTATGGTTTGGTGGTGATGAACTCCTTGTCTGGGAAGCTCTTTATCTGTCGTTCGATTCTAAATGATAGCTTTGCTGGGGGGAGTA